TATTTGATTTTATATAAACTTAAACTTAATTTTCTTTTTGAAAAGTTCATAATTGCAAAATATTTCACAATAATACAAAATATTTGATTTTATATAAACCTAAACAAGTAAATTAACATTGTATATATACAATTTCAATTTCATATGTACCTAAACAAATTTCAATTTCATATAATATTTTAAACACAATTTTAATTTCATACAACAATAAACAACTAAATTAACATTTTATACAAATATACAACTTCAATTTCACATCAACCTAAACAAACAAACATAAATATACTAAACAAACAATACAATCATACACATAGCAAACAAACAGCACAATCAAACACATACCAAACAAAAACCAACCTAAACAATTTCAATTTCATACCAACCTAATTAACAATCATACAAAATTTCATACCAACATAAACAAACAATATACATATTCCAAACAAAAAACAACAATCACACATATAACAAACAAACAACACAATCACACATATACCAACCAAGCAAAACAATTCTATAATCGAAAGAGGATCAAAACTTATGCATATATACAATTTCAATTTCAATAAAAATTACCAAAAAAAAACTAACCTGTGTTTCGTTTTCTTGCTGTGATGGACGGACTTAGCGTGTTAAAATCAATGGTGGTGGCTGGTGGTCACCTGAAATAAACAAAATCAAAAAAAAAAAAAAAACACCAAAATCGATCATCTGTTTGTTACCTACAATAACATAGGAAGAGTGGTGAAGGAGATAAGCCCAAATTCTAAACACCACCGCGATGGGGAAGCTTTAGGCAGTGGAAGACGGAAAGCACCACCGGTGAAAAGTTCTAAACACCAAAAAAACCCAAATTGAGGGTGAAAATCATTACCACACAGCAATAACAAAAGAAACAGGAGTAGAAAACAACTTACCTGGGTTAATCGCCGGTTATTGGAGCTGGAATCGCACTTTTGTCGGAGAGAAAGTGATATGGCTGCGTCGCTGTGCAAATGAGCTCCGTCTGCGTATTGTTTAGGGTAAACCCCTATGCCGACGACATGTCGTCGGTATAGGGTCTATTAAACGATACCGTTTTGTCTTTTACTGAAACAAAAAAATAATTAAAAATTAAATACCTGTGGCGACGACATGTCGTCGGGATATCCCTTTCACGCGGATCGCCACGTGTCATAGCGACGACTAGTCGTCGGTATAGCATAAAAAAAACTACGTCGTTTTGATTTTCTTGCACATGAAATAAAAATAAATGGAAAATATATGTTTTTATACCTATACCGACGACATGTCGTCGGCATAGATTTTCAGGATACCGCGCATTTTTTGTCGTTCCCGCCGGACTTGTACCGACGACAAGTCGTCGGAACAGAGGTCCGGGTCAAAGTAATTTAGTCAAAGTTTTCAAAAGCTATGGCGACAACTAATCGTCGGTATAGGTGTACTTGTGGCGACGACACGTGTCGTCGGGATAAGTGTCGTCGCCATAGGCTGTTATTGTTGTAGTGGGATATTAGAGAACACAAAACTTGGCTACACAAGGAGATTTGGGCACGGTTCTACCACACAAAACCGGGTTAGATAAAGCGATAAGACCCGATTACAATCCTCAAAATTGGGGCGTATAACTATTACATCTGCACCAGTTTCATTCTAATAATTGGGTCTTTAAAGAAAGTTGATTTTTTTATAATACTTTTTTATGAAAATAAATAGCAAGGTGTACACCCAAAATTACATTATGTTACAACTAACCACCAACATAGATGATACTTACATCCAATACACATTCAATAAAAAAAAGCATGCTCTGATGAACAAGTTATGTTAATATAGACATGCTAAATAACCAACCATTACTGATATAAACAAGTTTGCATGTCACAAATTTTTTTTTTATTTGGTCAAATCTTACTACATTAAACTTACATAAAAAAATTCAAAAAAGAACGTATCATTGCATCACAGTACGATTGTCTCATGATCAAGTATAACGTATCCTCCATTCTCATTGAAAAACAAACACAATAAAGAATCAATTTTTTGTCTAATATTTCAAAACAGTTGAATTTAACAAACAATCATTAAACTAAAAGTAGGATGTTTTAAAGATTAACAGGTAACCTTATATTCATTTTTAGACAACATCATTCATATAATTATTCAGAAATTCTCTACCCCATGTAGCAACAGTCATAACCAACTAAGGGAGTTCTTTCATTCTAAATTGTACCAAACTATATGAAATATTAAATTAAAACTAATGTATAACAAAAAATATAGTTTCTTGCTACAGACAAAATGAAAAAAATATTTAATAAGTACTTACTTTATTCGGGAATCCATATAGCTTAGTCATTAAAAAATCAAATTTTATAACATAGTGCCCAACTAACTCTCGGATATGCTAACTTGGTTGCACTAAAATTGTGACTGAAAGTAAACATAAATAAGACAAATGAAACTACATCTAATTGTTGGTTAAGTAATAAGATAAACTACCTCAACTTACATTCATACAATTGGAGTTGGTGTGTTTTTTTCATACTTAGCAAAAGCCCTAAAAATAAACAACCAATTGAGTTGTGTTCAAGTTTATAGAAAGAATGTAATTTTCATGCCATATTAAGAAACTTCTTACATGTCCAAAATTTTTGAGCAGGTAGTAGGTGTCGACTTCATTAAAAAATCCAAAATATATACGACACGACTAGAAGGGAAAATCACCAAGAGGACCCAATGCATACTAATGATGTTTAGGAAATTTAGTATAAATGAACAAAGTAACACATAACTAATAGTATAGATAAAAACTTATGGTACTTTTACAGGTATGGTGCAACAAGAAACGATGTGAGACACAGTTGAATAAACATAAATCTTGTGAAACCAACTACTATGTACGCATTTTATCAATAATGAAAAAAGAGAAAGACCATTTGATGCAATAATGTTACCAACTTAGATAAAATGCAAGGGGTTTAGTAGAGGTATGAACTATGAAGCTATTCCCCTTGTACACAGATTGTGGTGGCATCTATTTCTGAATCTTCGATGCTTGTGTGGTCCTGAACAAAAGAAAAAGAATACATATTACATAAAGAATACATATTGTTGCTTTTGTAGCAACCACAACCATTCTCTCCTCAACAATGACACACACGCACACACCTACGCACCAACATCTAATCGCATACACCAATACTTTATCATACAACCATACACATAAAGACAACCAAAAATAAGCATAGATAACCACATATACACACATACAACCATACATGTTTATTTCTAATCCGAAAAAATGCATAGATAACCATAGTCTCAAATAAAGACCCTCATAAATACCTCAGATAACAGATGTGGTTCCTATTCTTGAAATTGCTGAAGAGAGATGATGAAGAATGAGCAAGGTTGTCTTACTAACAAATTCGAAGTTTCTTCCTAGAGTCAGGAGGGGATATATGTCTAAAAAAACTTTGATTGTTAGAAAAGTAAACAACATGACAATCTCGTGGAGGTAGATTCTTGGAACCTTGATTGTTATACAAGTCCAAACTCATTCGGTCTAAAAAATAGATTGATTATTATACAAGTCCAAATTTTAGCAACAAAATTATGAAACTTTCTTTGGTATCGACCCCTTAATAGCACAAATGGATGTGCCATAAACTTGGCCATAAACAAAAATATGGCAATGAAGGATGTAACACTGTAAAAGCATATTCCTCTGATTTTTTAGCCCAAATTGAATTTCGCATTTCAAATATAAAACAATTAGGTAGATATAAAATATTAAAATTGTAGAGTAATAAAACTCCTCATAGAAATTAAGAAATTAGGATGTGTATAACCTGATAATTGAGTTCCAACAATTTCATATCTAACAATTATAGATTTCCATCCTTTATCCTCATACACAAACACACACAAAAAAATACTTTGCTAAAAAAAGTTATACAGATTGATGTATAGAGGGGAAATATCAATACCCAGATCTATATGTGTTTTTCAACCAACCATGGATTGCTGCCATCGATAATGAACAAACTCGAAGATATGATAATCAAATGAAAGAAGAAAAAACAAATATCAATTAAGAAACTTACAAAGTACAACACCAATTGAAATGTAGAGTCGCCTAGACAATCGAGTACTACTACACTAGAAATGATTTGGCGACCTAACTAGTGAGATGAAGAACACGCTAGGGAAAATCTCGTAGAGGAGAAGGGTTTGACGCACCGATGTTGTGGTCAACACAATGAAGTGGAGTCGTCAGTTGAGGCACATGAGAAGGATCGGACAACAGTGCAGTGGTCAAAGTTGTTGGTTGCTGTGGTGGTGAAGAAGAGGGGTAAGGAGTACGTGGCAGTGTGGGTTCTGATCGATTGGACCTAAAAATTGGTGGTGGGATACAAAATTTCCATGGCGAGATATCCAAAATTTTACCTCAAAATAAGTCAGCCAAAACCGCTCTATCTTTTACAAAAATAAAAATAAATAAATTCTTCCTACTTCATCCTCGTGCCTATTCAATTATCGGAAAGTGTAATCCATTATTTCTCTTTACTCATCTTTTCCTTTAAGTATGACACTTGTCATAATCTAGTTAGGAAGAAAAGTAGGAAGATTTTGTAAGAGGATATTTAATTTCTCAATCTTATTTGTAATACATTACTAATTGCACCACTTAATAAATAAATGTCTAATTTCACCAGTTAGTTTGATGTCTCTGTTGATTTCATCTCTAATATATATTAAAACAGGAAATTTATGACATCATCTTAAAAACTCAGGGTCATGGATTGTATTTCCTTTATAGGTTTCACACCCTTAGATCAAATTGCTAACATCATCTTCACTAAATAACAATTCACATTCACACCTCATTTCTTTTGATAACTTATGTGTTTCCTTCATCAAATTCAAACTTTCCAAAATCATATTCCAATCGTAACCTACTCTCATAAACTGTTAACATTAATTCAGCTCCACCAATGCAACAATCCACTGGCCATTCCGTCTCTGTCGATGAAGCCTATCATTCATCGATTCAACCTAATGCATTGACACTCATGTTACAAGTAACATATTAGAAAATACATAGTGAAAGGTTATCATTATTTATTTAATAATTGTTAATTTCCTATAATCGTTTATTTATAATCAATTTACTGATCGGTAGGTTTAGATAATTTCCTTGAATGTTAGTTTAATTTAGGGTTAATTTGAATCGACATATTTACCTTTGATGTAATTGGTGTGCCTAAAATCAGATTGTGTACGAAATTTGTACATTTTTTTGGTAATTGACGTTTTGATTGGTTTATGAAATTCGTATATCATGCATCTTAATCATTTAATTTTAATTTTTATTACCTTCGGTACTTATGATCTCAGGTTGTAGGATCAACTTGGCTAAATAATTTCCTTGGGATGAAGCACAACAACTATTTTCTATGGTATTCGAAAGTGAAGTTTCAAAGGGAATACTCGCGCAGTGGAGCAATCAGGGAATTAGGTATGGTCATTGGTTTTATAATGCAATTAAATATATTACTATTTTCCTATCGATCTCACAGTTTATGTGGTGCGTAGTTTAGTTAAACAGAAACCAAATTAAACTAGAAGGCATGATTACATATTTTAATTACAGTGCAAAACATGAAACCATTTTGAACACATAAAGATTTAATTCATTACAACTCCAACATTTCCTACATCTTAAGTTTTTTCATTTTGCAGGCATTTGTTCTTAAATGCCTCCTTCTTTTCCCACAAGAATTAGTTAAAGGTGTACCAAATACACTACTGAAATCAATTTCAAGAAGACTGCATGAAAATCAAGATTATGTCTTAACTATATTTGGTTATATAACTAAAGAAACAAAATCAAGGAGATCGTTTTTCTAGGCAAATTGAGTGCCCTTTATCGTCTTTGTATTGTCTTTTTCTTGCATTGTCCAGCCTAATCCAGTCATGTGAGGGGTTTTTGGTAATTTCTCACACTTTAAAACTAACATGTTCTGAAAATTTTTGACCAGGACATCGAGGGAAAGATGAAAAGGAAAATGATGAGGCAAGGTCACTTCCGTCATTTCTCTGATGTTGGTTTATAATTTTTCATATTGAATTTTTTCATATTGATTTCGAAAGATGTAAATTTATTTAACAGATTGTTGCAAGATCACTTAAAGATTTTTCACTTGAATCCGATTGTGATTTGCAAAAGGTTCTGACAGTGAGACATTCATGTCTCCTGCAAGTGCAATACAAAGGCTTGAATCAATGATTCCGATCTTACGTAGTTTCGGATGTATATGACAAGTAATTACATTCATTGATGTTGAATTACTTGTGCCTTTAATGTGTTTTCATATTTTTCCATCTTTATTTCATGGTTAATATAAATGATATTTTTCATTTTTAGGGTGAAAGTAGTAATTCGTGTTCATGATGAAACTGGTTCTGCTTCTTTCATGTTGTTTGACCGTCATGTTAAAGATATTGTACATCACGGCAAATAGTGGTTTATGGAAAAATTAATATCAAAGGTTTGATAATTTATCTCCAAAATTTAAATACTCCAAAAAATCAATATTCCTTCTTTACCTACTGTTTTAATTTTGTAATAATTGTGTAGACATTACAAAGTTACACTTATAATTTGTAAACCATATTCTTTTATTGACTTTCTTTTAAATGTTCTACTATTTCCTTCATTTTAAATTAGGATCAAGGATGCCACATTATCCCCAATGAGTTCAAGAGCTTGGGTAATAGGAAGTTTGTCTTTAAAGTTCACATCTCAAAGTTCAATATCGAGAAAAATTATCTTTCTTACACTTTTCATAAGTTGACTGATGATGAAAGTATAGTTGTTGAGGTTTTCAAAAGGTCACCTAGTTACGAACAAGAGAGTATTCATGTTGATGGTACTCCTATTACAAAGTCATATAAGGTAAAATAAATCACTTCATATAAATATGATGTTAAAGTATTTTCAATGAAATACTTATTGTTAGTAATCCTTATATCTATTCTTTACAGGAAAAGTCTGATTCGGTCGATGTTGATAACGTTGACGTTGTTAATCGTGAATGTGTGACACGAACAATGTAACATCCTAAAATACGTGGGTAAAAATTTTGTTTTTAAAACAATTAAAACACCCATTTATTATTTAAACAAATTATTAAAGATATTTCATAGTAAAAACAGTTATCAGAGTACTATCCAAAAATCTCAAAGTTGCGGAACATATAGATGTATGCGCTGCGATCAAGTCGGACCCTTCCATTTCGAATCGGAACTACCTGAAACCATAAACAACAACTGTAAGCACAAAGCTTAGTGAGTTCCCCGAATACCACATAGCATACATAACATACAAGCCGTACATAACATACATATCAAACATGCGATAGGAAATGATATGTGCCAACCATAGTTTTGCTATTATGCCACGAGCCGTATCACGGTCTTTCCTTGCCAGACCGGGAACCAAAACCCTGGGTCTTACAGACAAGTGCCAGGAGCCACCTACTGGTCTTCCATGCAAGCATCACAAATACAACTAGCATACAATCTACAACTAACTATCTAATTAACGGCCAGAGTCCAAACTCTGGTCTTGCATGCAGATTTGCAAGGAGCCACCTCCGGGTCATTCATACAATGCCAAGGACCACCCCCTGATCTTCCTATTAAACATAAGCCAATGGGTCGGCATTGGTGCCTTCGACCCATAGTATAGTGAGGAGACTCACCTCAATAGCTGAACCCACGAATAAATCTCTAACTGTTGATCTGCTAGAATACCCCTGCTATCAAACAAAGAACACCCAGTTAACAATTGGGTTCCAATCCAAGTCCAATTCAAATATGGAGTTAACAATTGGGTTCCAATCCAAGTCTAACAATTTAAATATGGGGTAAATAGACCATTTACCACTCACCTAGTTTGGTCCAAGACTAAGGCCCAAACTCCCAATCATAAAGGCCCACAAACCAAAAATCATCCAAGCGCACTTATGGCTAATTTTACAAATTGGGCCCAAACCCTTACATGGGCCTTACCCTCAAGCCCATTAACTTTTTCCTAATCCAAAATACTTGTTTTCAGATGGCCCAACAAAGCCCCAAGCAACCAGGCCCAAAAGATAGCCTAAATCAAAGCCCAAACATGTAAGGCCCAACAAACCGAGTACACGGGCATACTCAGCACGTACGCGCAGCGTACTCGCTTGGAGGCTTGTACGCTAAGCGTACCTGCTTGTACGCCCAACGTACTCACCCCGCTCAGCCCAAAACTTGATTTTTCTCTTAATCCATTAAGACAAAGCTCCAAAACATAGATCTGACTTCCTTGAGCTGGATTATCACGTAAAGTTGCCAACTTTACGTTCATACATGGCTAAATGAAGCTCTTAAGCTTAAAAGGGACTTAATAGTTGACTTAATGCATGCATGACACCAAACTTCACATAAAGCTTGCACCTTTATGCTCAAGGATACAAAAACAAACTCAAATATGAAAGAACAAGCCCTTAAAAGACCTAACTCATCCATAAACCCAAAAAGGAAACCAAAATCATAACAAACTAACCATGAAGAGATCTGACATATACAAGCCAATATGCAAACTTGATAGCTCAGAAAGCTTTTCCACAAAATGATGATTCTGGATCCAAAACCTTTACCACCAAGCAAATCAATCCTTAAGCTTCTCTCCTTCCTTTACCAAGGCAAAATAAGCACCAAGGTCCTCTTAATAACTCAAGAACACCACTAAGAGGCTAAGGGGTCGATTTAGGGTTTTTAGGGTATGGATTTTGGCTTAGAAATGAACAAAAGATACTAACATAAAGCTTATATAGGGTATATCAAGAAAAAATAGGGGTTCTTACTCACCCTCGTACGCCAAGCGTACTCCTCGTACGCCCATCGTACGAGGCCTCACACCCTGATCCAATCCTCGCAGTACGCTAAGCGTACACCCCATTACGCACGCCGTAATACCCTTTACATCAGTACGCCCAACGTACTCCCTTGGTACGCCCCGCGTACTAGGGTTTCCCTTTAAACCCTAACATATTCTGAAGGCCATAACTTCTTTGATACAACTCTGATTTCGACCATCCTTATATCCATTAATAGGTAACGAGAGGCTCTACACTTTAATCAACTCATACTTTCCATAAAATTTCCCAAACAAAAAATCCAATTTCCATAAAAGTCCGCTGCCATTTTACTAAAATACCCCTTGGCTCCAAAACCAAATCTGAATGCCCGAATCATCTACATTACATTACCCACACGCAAATGGGTAACGATTCGGAACATGGCGTTACAACACCCCCCCCCCCCCACTTAAATTAGATTTTGTCCTCAAAATCAGTTCTTACCAATCCCCGACACACCAAACAACCTGAGCCACAAAGACACAATCCCGAGTATATCACAACCTTCCCACGGCAACCGAAACCAACCCTAGCAGAACACTCCAAACCCAATGAAGAACGAATTGTTAATCCCTTGCAGAAAACCACTTCTACCTTTCCAAAAACTGAAATCTCAAATTGGTCTGACTCCCCGACAGACCGCCAAATCCTCATTGAATCCCAGACATAAACCAAACGCCTCCAACCCTGATTATCTTGATGCTTCCATTGGGAACAAAATCATTGACCGTATACCCCTGCAGAACACTTTTACTTGACAAAAGGCTCAAATAATCCTTTGAGTAGAAGATTCATCCCTACAATGGTTAGACTCAGACGAGAGTTGTGCAACAACGTCAAATCAATTACTCTAAGATTATTTAATCCAAAATGCAAGTGACTTAGCATTTTGCCGAATAACAAGCGACTCCACACTAGGGATGAAAGTGGGTCCAAACCCGGACCGGATGGACCCGGACCCAGAAAACATGGAACCGATTAACGGGATTTTGTAGAACCGGAAACTGGACCGGTATATAGGAACCGATTCCGGTTCGGTTCCGGGTACGGTACCGGGTAAAGTGGGTCTAGAACCGGAAAACCCGGAAACATCAAAGTGGGTAGGTTGGAACCGGATAAAGTGTGTTTAGAACCGGAAAAACCAGATTTTTTTGGTAATTACTTACTATTTAGTGGGTTGAACTTTGAAAATTTTCATATTGATATCCCGATTTTAGGGGATTGTAACTCATTGAATATGAAACCAAAATTGACAAAATTATAGTCTTAAATTATGTACAAACTCTAAACTACACTCTGGAATAAACCGCATGTCAATATGACTTTAAACGAATGATATATTCATGTGTTAACGTTTTCACAGAATACAAAGTACAAAAACAAATAGCTGAAAAGTTGAAAATTTTCAGTTTTGATATCCTGACTTCGGGGGACTGTAAATCATTGAATATTAAACCAAAAATGACAAAATTATATTCTAAACTCATCTACAAACTGTAAACTACAAGTTGGAAAAAACCACATGTCAATCCGACTTCAAACGAATTAGATATGCATGTTTTAAAACTTTCACACAATACAAAAAAATTGAAAAACTAAAAACTTTCAGGTTTGATATCTCGACTTTGGGGGACTGTAAGTCAATGAATATAAAACTAAAAATGGCAAATTTATAGTCTATAATCATGTACAAACTCTAAACTACATGTTGGAAAAAACGGCATGTCAATCGGAGTTGAAACGAATGAGATATGCATCTTTAAACGTTTCATAAAAACCGGTTCCGGCCCTAAAAGTGGTTCCGGTTCCTAACACCGGTTCCGGTTTTTAGACCCGGTTTACCCGGACCCGATGGACCCAAACCCGGATTACCGGGATAAATCCAATTTTTAAACCCGAAACCGGAACCGGTTCTATATATTTCGGTTCTAACGGTTCCGGTCCGGTTTTCCGGTTATAAATCTCATCCCTACTCCACACACAAATCCCCAATCACTAATACTGCCCGAATCATCGTGCTTCCTCCTAGCTGCTTTCCAAAAGCATCCGAGACCTCCCTGGTCCCAACTAGTCTGCCAACTAAATGAAACATTGGATTCCCGCCCGATTTCCGAGTCAAAAGACACACACAGTCGCCCCATGCGACTTCCGAAAGAAAGCCTCAACTGGCAATAATTTCCAAAGCCATCTCGCCACCAAATCCAATGCTATAAATGAATGCTACATGACCAACCGTAGTCTTATATCATAGCCAGTCTCCAACGACCCACCACTTCCTGATTCCAAGCATGCTATGGCCCTCCCACAGTCTAACGAACTGACCCACCCTAGTCTAAACCATCCGATGAAATCCGTGACCAATCATGGATTTGCCACACCCTCACCCCTGCACAGGGACTGGTGAATGCTACGGGCCGCCCTGCAGTCTTACAACACTCCCACACTAACTACCAACTAGTGAATGCTATGGGCCACCCCGCAGTCTTACAACACTTATACACTGACTGCCAACTAGTGAATGTTATTGGCCACACCGCAGTCTTACAACACTTCTACACTGTCTGCCAACTAGTGAATGCTACGGGACACCCCACAGTATTACAACACTTCTATTTTGCCATGGCCACCGCCCATAGTATTACCACTCATCTATCAGTCAATCCCTACACAACCAGAGTCGAACATGCACCCGACCAAGGCCAAGCTGGACTCAAGTCATGTCTGGAACCCCAATCTGGGTCCACCGAAAGACCGATATCCTTCACCAAGTGTAACGCTCGATCCGGGTATTATTCATTTTTTGTCCCTCATATATTAAGTTATTGCTTTTTGGCCTTGTTTTGCATTTTTATGGGAGAGGAGGGACCATTCTTGCCAAGATTGTACTTTTTGAGGCGGAGCTCGAACGCGTGGTGTTCCCTTGGGGAACGCAGGGTGTTTGCGTGTGGAGCTCAAACCCTAATTTTTAGGGTTTAAGATATATTTAAACACCTTAAGTCCCAGGTGTTGGCTTCATTTCCAGCCTCCTTAGCCCTAACCGTAATCTCGAAACCATAGAGCCTCCTTGAATGTTGTGAGCTCATTGTGTGTGTTTTGGTGTGTGTTTGAAGCTCATTCAAGGAAAAGAAGCTTGGTGCAAGGTGATGGTTCAAGTAGGAG